TTTCTTCTGCCTGTATCTCCCAAGCAAAAACAAAAGTGCACACTTCTTTTTACGATCTATGTCACCTCCCACATCTAGTACCTGTACACGACCTAGTTTTCAAAATACGTCCAGTACGGTTGACGGTCGTCGAAGGAATGGTCACCCTAGGGAGCCATTTGCCGCAAGAATTGGCATCGCAGCAATTCGTGTCTCAACTTTCTGCGTTGCGAATTCGCATCGCGTCTCATCGCAGTTTTGTGTACATGCCCTAAGCCAGATTGTTAACATAATACTCCTGTATACTGTAGAATGCCTTTTCAACAAGTGCATTTTTAACGGTCTTTCGAAATAATGGATAGTTTGTAATATTTTTAAAGAGACTAGGTAAATGGTTATATAACTTTTTACTTTCAAATTTAATGGAATTTTTAGTTAAAGACGTTGTGTAGGTTTGGCAGATAAATATTATCATTTTGTCTTGTATTATGCACTGTTTCTTTAGATATTTTGGACTTATGCATTAGGCAGACCGTTTCTAAGATGAATATGGAGTATACAGTTAATAATCCATGTTTGAGAAAGAGTGGTTTGCAGTGGTCCCTAGGTTTACTTTTAGAAATGTATCGAATTGCTCTTTTCTGAGACACAAAAATTGAATTCATCAACTGGTTCTTTCCAAATCCCCAAAAGGCAATCCCATATCGCAGGTGAGATTCAATAAGGGAGGAGTAGGCCATTATACCAGCATTAGAGCCCAGTTCATTAGTTATCACTCTAATATCATAACAACCTGAGGCTAGTTTTTTATTAAGATTTCTTATATGTTTCTTAAATTTTAATTTATCATCTAAGTAGATTCCCAAGAATTTGTTATGTGATTTGTTGATAACAATATTCCTGCCTAGATAAAGGTCATTATACATGAACTTAAATGTCAATATACTGGTTTTATCAATGTTGAAGCAAACCAAGTTTGCATCGCACCATTGTTTAACCTTTTCTAAGTCCTTGGAAATGTTAGATTCCAGAAGTTCAACATTATTATCATGCCACAGTAATGTGGTATCATCCGCAAACACTGTAAATGATCCTCGAATGTCGAGTTCATGTCGAGATCATTCAGAAAAACAAGGAAAAAAATTGGCAAATTCTCTGAATTTTGCAAAATTTTTATTACTAAAAAATTATGAGAAAGGTAGTGAAAATTGCCTCGTGATCGGAAAGGCCTGCAGGAATGACTGCACAATCAAGGTATTCATGATACCCGATTGGGATCTGATACATGCATTGCCATATTAAGGGTAGTTGATAAATTCTCTAGAGTTTGGGTTGCGAAAGACTCATCATTAAAGTAATTTATATCAAAATCTCCAGCCACAATTATTTTTGATTTAAGAGATAATGCTGTAAGAATGACTTTGAAGTTTGCAAAGAAAATGTCGATATCCGAGTTAGGAGCTCTGTAAATACAAAGAATATATAGATTATCATGCCTATTATACACTAATGAAAACTCGAAGATGCGTTCGATCAGGAGATAGTCAAATTCATTTATATTTTCAAAATTGAAGGTACAGAAGTCGAAACTTGTAAGAGCTAAGGAAAAACGAGGTTTTACTTTTCAACGTGTGATTCCTAACACATTAAAGGGATATGAAGCTACACACATGATATTGAAACAAGAAAACTTTTGAAACATCTCAATTCTGAGCGTCAAGAGACAGTATTTTGTTATCTTGCGGGAATAATGTTTTCAATAGATTAATTTAAATAAAAATCATTGATACCGTGCTATTCAAAGAGTAACCTCAATTGAAACAAGCAGTTTTGTTTCATTCATTCATAATCAGTCTCGTTGAAACTGATTCTCAATGAATTTAATTTTCGAATAAATTACATCTGGTTATCCAAATCACGTCATTTTCATGTGTTCCATAATGCATAATTAATTATAGTATTTAAACAGAAAAATTTTATACTCTTTGACCACAGCATCGTGGTTAGCTGTTCAAGCATTATTAACAACAAAAAAATGGTGTTTGTTCTGTAGAATTATGTGGAAATGCGGTTATTGTTACAATGATAGAGTAATTTTCTGATTACAATGAAATGCAACGAAATGTAACACGACAATTAAGCTTGAATCATCTCCATTACATGTTTTTTTTGTTAATATGGAGGAAATGGACCTATTATTATCGTCATGAACAAATGCAGATACAAGTAGTTTTCATAAACATCGATACAAAAATACATTCATAATTATCAGAAAAATCACAGGAAGTGAAATAAATTCAAATTCTTATAAATAAATCATCGGAGTAATGTTGTATAAGTGCATTGTTGACTGATACACGTAAATAAATGCCCAGTATGCGTATTCTTGAGCAATTTCAACATTTATTTCCTGTACGATACAACTATTTTTGTAATATTATAGTATAAATCAACATCGTGATGAGTTAATAAGTTTTTTGATTTCCCTTCTATCTAAAATTCTGAAAAATCTTGCAACTTAATTGAATAGGATATTAACAGGAATCCTGGAATTGTCCAAAATTATATAATTTCAGAAGTGGAGAATAGTGAAGTTTCTGCTGCCCAACCCTCAGCACATCGCCTGGTTATTTTTTTTGTAAAAATGATTGTATTTATTGTTAGGTGAGCACTTCAAATTTCTTCAAGATGAGTCAACAGAATAGTTTATTAATAGATTAACTAGTCAAATTCCTGCCAAATTCATATCAAAATTAAAACTTACTTGAGCGGAGGAGTTCATCGATCATACATTTCAGTGATAAATTCGTCATCAAGGGAATTTTTCCAGCTTTTGTAGTTAAAATGTGTTCTTATATTATTTACGAAACCATAATTAAATCAGCAGTATTGATTAAACAGCCGTACGAGCAATGATAATACATAAATCGAGATAAATAAATACACAAAACTGAAATTATTCATCTTCTATCATTTAAATTTCTAAGACTGATGGTTCCTTATCAATTCAAGAATACATTCCAAAAAAAATAACTATCCATATGACATTTGACTTGGAAAATGAACCTCTGAAACACTCAAAGAAGGAACTGCAAAATATAGAAAAATGAATTGTCTCTCTCGGCTGTTAATACTCCTATTTGTTTATAAAAAAAAGTTGTATTCAGTTGTAAATTGATAGATGTAGCCATTAGTACGTGGTAGAAGATTAACAAGTTTTCATATCACTTGTATTTGTAACTAACTTTACTACAGTTTCGTCCTATAAAGATATTTTCAAAAAATAAAGTGAAATAATCAACAATGTTAACCCTTATATATCTATATTTCACTGTAAGTAATAACAGACGGCCCTTAACCTTACTGAGTAACTTTGGTAACCTGTGACAATGTGGGTACACTAATCTAAAAAACCAGCGAGTAGATCAGGTCGATTTGGTTATTTAGTAGGTTACATCCGCAATGCATATGAATTTCCAAGGATTCCAAATAACCCTTACTTGCATAGGGCAAAACTTTCATAGCGTTTAAATTCGGGAACTTGTGGTTTCATGCGAAACGTCGAATCATTTTCACTTAGTCTGAACGACATTTCATGTTCAGCATGTATTGAGAAATTTTAGCCAAATTGTCCTTACAGGACGAAACTGCAGTAACGTCATTTGAAATACAGGGGGTTTAAAAACATAAGAAGTTTCATTTCTCATTTTCAATGATATTAGTATATTCAAATGTTCTTTCCAGAAGAAATTAAATCTTTTATATTGAATATCAATCCCTACCAGAATTGAAATTGTAATGGAAACGAAATTATTTCAATAAATAAACTACTTATATCCTTATATTACATTACTCGATATATTTCGGGTGACAAGAAAATCATTGTTCACGGCACCATTCAGTTGTTTCTGGGGTGATCAATTTGAAATTCAGAACGAAAGTATGATTAGTGCAAAGAAGTGGTACTTCAGATTTAGAACAGTTAAAAATGACTTGGGATTATTCGGTCAAGTCAAGAATTTTAGATGAAACTGAGTATTTTTCAGACCATTTTCAAACGTTATCCATACAAATATTGTAAAATAAGTTGATGTAGTGGAAAGACAATTTTTGCTCAAATCTTAAACAAAAATTCAAGAACTGAAATTTTTCCCCGAAGATTTCTCAAATGCCATTTATCTCCAAAATCTCAATAAGAAGTGGTATTCTAGAAACTCCAAAATCAAATTGTACTAGTGTGATACTGTGCGGTTCATACTGGACCAAATAAAATTTTCTATTTAATCAGTGCTTGCTTGCTTGCTATGCTTGAAGACTGGCAGTAAACAAATCTAAAGAAATGAACTTTAAACGTTCAAGCCAGTCTCGAATATACCTACACAGTCGGTTGAATGGACTGACGCCTATCAGAAAACAACTTCTCCCATGGCTAATATCACGAAGGGCTTTGGATTATATCCGACAGGCGTCAGTGCAGGAATCTTCACAGATTCACACACCTGCATATGCAATTGGCAATACGAGTGAAAGAGTCGACCTTCAATTTTGGAAGGGGCACACTTGCAGACCGGTTGCGGGCTCATTGGCCACACATCAGTGATGGCCACTATCTTGCATCTTGTTCAGAAGTCCCTTTTGGAAGACCGTCTATTATCCATGATAATATATGTTGAAAAATCAATTTTAACAATTTTCCACAGTTAATGTTATTCTTTTCACTACTCACTGAAAGGTTTTTTCAATAATAATAGCTAGCAAAAACTTTTTGCGGTTTTTTTTCTCTGTAGAACCAAAAGGAGCTTCCGTTGTAACTCGCATTAACTGAACAAAGAAAATAATCGAGAAAATATATAGAAATCATATAAAAATTGAACAACGGGAAAAAACTGAAGGAAATTGTGGTTGTACGGTAATTTGATAATATAAATATAATATACGTTTTCAGAATACCTGTGTTCTCAGTCAAAACGCCATATGCCGTGGATGATCTATAATTACCAATGCTTTTGTTTTTGTTGCAGAAAATGGACTTCCACGAAGACTAAGAACAGCGTATACCAATACCCAATTACTAGAACTAGAAAAAGAATTCCACTTCAACAAATATTTATGCCGACCGAGGAGAATCGAAATTGCGGCTTCGCTAGATTTGACCGAACGACAGGTAAGCTGTCAGTAGTAACCTGTTATTTTACACTCTTTATTAATGAGAGAATGGATTTTCATTATGCACCATTAACTCAATCATCAATCAAAGAAATCGAAGCAATTACTAGGGCAGCGTCAGATAGCATCAGGTAGGCGTTAGTCTAGTGCCCTCGAGAAGGGCACTCGTTTATACCGTCTTTTTTGTCCGTTTATTTTCAAAATTTCACCCATGTTTGTCACTCATTTCGAGAAGAATCACAAGCGAACTACAAATTGGCACAAACAAGAGAATACTTCATAGAAATATAATAACTTGATGACATCTAAAACATCGGCTGAAAAGTCCCGGGCCTATGAAGAAAAACGTTTTTTTTTTTTTGTTAAAATTGGCTTCATTTATCAACGTAAGGGCCACACAATCATTCCTAGGTCACTGTAAGATTTCGATACCACTTTTGTTGAACGATTTATCTTTGGTCTCAAAATAGGCCTCAGTTTCACCAAAATAACCTCTTCATTTGAGCAAAATTTTTTACCTGTGAGCATTTTTTTGAAGTCTGCGAACAGCCATTAGTCTTTGGGAGCCAAATCTGGTCAATATGTTTAATGCGGAAAAATTTCGAAGACTATTGTCTCATGCAATTTTGCCATCGTTTTCAGTGATTTGTGACATTGTGCATTGTCTGAAGCAGCACTTTCTTTTTCTTTAAACGGGGTAGGTTTTACTCAATGTTGACCTTCAAATGCTCCAATAACGCTGTATAATATTTACCGTTGATGGTATTTCTCTTCTCAATTCAATCGATGAATATCACACCAGGCACATCCCAAAATACCGAGGCCATAACCTTTCCAAACGATTGTTGTGCTTTCAAGTACTTTGGACGAGGTTCACCAGTTGCTCTCCACTCAGATGACGATCGTTCTGATTTCGGAGTGAAGTGATGGATCCATTGTTACATATCGACGCTAAAATTCAGGTTTGTTGTGTTTCAACATAGCCAAGCAGTGCTCAGAATCATCAAGACGTTCTTGTTTTTGATCAACAGTGAGCTCGCGCGGCATCTACTTTGAACAGAGCTTTCTCAGAGTCAAATGCTCGTGCAATATAAAGCCAATACGTTCTTGTGATATCTTTACATTGTCAGCTAACTCACGCAACTTCACTTTTCGATCATTCAAAACGATTTTGTGGATTTTTTTTTTGTTTTCTGGTGTTACTGCCTCATTTGGACGTCCACTGCTTCCTGCATCATCGTTGTCTCTATGACCACGTTTGAAGCCAGCAAACCAACGTTCAATTGTTGTTTCTAATGGAGCGGAGTTCTCATAACACTTTTCCAGCCATTGCTTTGCTTGGGCTGTATTTTTTCCCATCGAGAAGCAGTGTAAAATAAAAATAAGAATTTTTTTTATCAATTGTTTCGAAAATAACAAAAGCAATGACACTCTTAGCACAATAACTCACAAACTCATGATTAGAATATTATGAAATTTCAACAGCTTTTTTGAAGGTTAGTACTAACTGAAAATGTGGCGAATGCAATAACATTAGCGCTATCTACGTGTTAGGCCCGAGACATACCCGTATTTTTGAAAAATGATGTTTATTCTATACTTAGTCTGGTCCATTGGGTATTTTATTAAAAACCATTGCCAAAATCTGAATTTTATATCAAGTTTTCATTCAATATGGAATCATTCCAGAAAAATTCATGAAATTTCACAAAACTTTTGAAAAAGGGTAGCTACATTGGTAAAAGTGGAATAGTTTTTGAAGAAAATCTCACAACATATTCTGAGAGATACTTTTTTTGTGGAAGAATCAATGTTTTTTACTGTTTTTTGGGTATTCAACCTTCTGCAACCTTCTGAAAAATAAACAAAGCATAATCGATAAAAAATCTCTTGTCGTGAAATAAAGGGCGAACTGCAAAATTTACTGCGTAATATGAACCAGTGAAGAGTCCAATTACTCAGTAACTTCTTCAGTATTCACAAATGCCTGCAAATGTAATGAATGATTCGAAAAAAAATCATACTCAGCTTTTTCAAAACACTGGATATATACACCCAATCTCCTTCTAAGGTCTGGTCCAGCGGCAGTTCAGGAATGACACGCCTGAGGTGCACATGTCACCTCGGTTAACAAAATCGTAGCTTTTGCTATCAGATCGAGGAACCTTGTTACGGTAAATGGACCTTCTCCATTTTGGGTATAGAACTTGGGTTCTAAATTATCATCTCAATGGACCATCAGTTTCCTCACACCCCCATACGACTGAGAGGAATGATATTTGAACTGGCTTACCCAATAACCATTGAAGGGTATCCGGATATACATCCAGTGGGGTCCAATAACTAATGGACGTCTATTATGGACGTATGGGGGTGTGAGGGAACTGATTGTCCATCGAGATGATAATTTAGAACCCAAGTTCTATACCCAAAATGAAGAAGGTCCATTTACCGTAACAGAGGGACTCTGCAAGGCTCCTCGATCCGATAGCAGTCCATTAGTTATTGGACCCCACTGGATGTATATCCGGATACCCTTCAATGGTTATTGGGTAAGCCAACTCAAATATATTTCCTCTCAGTCTTATGGGGGTGTGAGGAAACTGATGGTCCATTGAGATTTTTCAAAACAGCTAACCTTTAGGAAAGAAATCTATTTTCATTCTGAAAACTCAAAACGGTAACTCAAAAGTTCCTCAGACGACATATGTATTTCACTTATCATTTGTCGTATATTTTCTTTAAAATGTTTTATTGATTTGCCTCAATTCATTTCCCAAGTTGTAGACGGTTGGATACTCAAAAAACAGCTATAAAAGAAATCACACAAGCAATTTGAAAAATTATCCTAAAAGAGCAGGAAATTTACTAACATTTTCTAACCTTCCAAATCCTCTTGATTTTTCAAGAAATCATTGATTTCAACAAGTAGATAATAGAATTTTCTTTGTAAATTTTTCGAACAAATATTCCATTTGTTCATATCTTTGATTGCTTCATTTCCATTTTTGATTTCGTAATTCTTTCAAGTATAAATGAAAGGTAGAATATCAAAATTTTTTCACCGAGTTCTTTTCTGAAGGCCAAAACAATGACTTCACAAATTTGAAGAAGGCTCAGTTTTTCAATTCAAAAATTATCTGCGTTTATATGCTAACCCATCACTAGCAGAAAGTAATTGATTATTTCAAAAGTATAGATAACTGAAAAATTACGTTTGAACTTCATGTCGACTGATTATTGTTTATATAAAAGAATAATAGAGAGTTCTGAGAATAAAACCATGATGTTTCCTGTGGAATATCAATGAAAACATATACACTCTTCTCCATTCTATCTGAAGAGTTTTGTCTATCCACCTCAAGTTTTGCTCAAACACAATGTCATTATCGAAATGCGAATGAAACTTGTGACTTGGCATTGATGAATACTTCTCCTTTTGAAGTCATGTCACACACAATAATAAACTGTTTCTCAAAATTGACATAATACATGCAAACGGCATTTTTCTAAAATCGTTCCAGATGATTCCTGGTCGTTTTCCGACAGAGAGGTTGTTTATGAACCTATTTTTCGCTAATAAGAATATGCTCGAGTTCAATACCTTTCTTTACATACTATTATATTTTCTAGGATTAGGCCTATTTAGGCATGGATTAGTTTTACATTGGTATCTTAGGTTTTAACTCTATTATGTACCTTCCATTCTGAGTTATTACATCTCAATTTGTTAGCAGCATTAGAAGTTTCAAATGGTGACAGTAAGTTAATAGGCTTTTTTTCATTCTTGGATATGGGCATTGTGATTCTAGGTTCTTACTGGTGCAGCTTCTTCTCGTTTGTGTCAAGCAGCCCGGGTACAATAGATAGATAAATAGATAAATTTATATATTTGATTGTTTTACAATAAGTTTACATGCTTGTCAATATCACAAAAGACTCCAATCGTGTTTATTTCCGTAAATTGCGGTTTTGTGAACATAAAAAATACAATACTTTGTTATCAAATATATTCAGCCCTAATAATATGCTATAATCTCCAAGTACTTCTCCAGTCATTTTTGTCAACGAATTTTTTTAAATTTTGTTATCCAAGATTCATTACTGAAAAAAAATGTTATACCAACAGATATTGCACTACTCATCTCAAAACTTTAGCCATAATAAACTCTCATTGTCTCACTTTTATGCATTTTTAATTTTTCCGTTTCATTGAGAGTCTGTATTTTTTTTGATGAGCAGTTCCTTTCTAGGTAAAGGTGTGGTTCCAAAACAGAAGAATGAAGCACAAACGGCAAACTCTCGGCAAGCAAGGAGAGGATGGTGACGATAAAGACTCTGTTACTAGTGAAGGCAGCAAGAGTGCGAAGCTGGGAGACAAATACCTAGAAGAAGAGATGTCAAAGAAGAGCTGTCAAGGCTGCGAAATGCCGTCCGTTGGATTATGTGGTTCCCATGAAGAGGTTCCTGATATCTCTTCGAATAGAGGGAATAACAACAACACCCCAAGTGCAACAAACAATAACACCAACTTCAACACTAATAGTAATGGTGCTAGTAGTGTTGGTAGTTCAGGTAATAATGATATGCCCTGGCATATAAACCTCTTTTGTACCCATACTAGAGAATTGATAGAGTTATTAGGGTTATTGTGGAGCATGACGATTCTTCCGATATTTCTACAGAGTTCAGTTTTAGAAGCGGCGCACTAATAAAGGATCATTATGTATGCAAACAATTTTTATTACAGCAGGAAATTCATCGATAATTAGATAAATTTCCTTATTTTTCTGCACACTTTGAAAATAGACTATGAGTCAAAAACAACCGTTATTCATATTCCTATCACATTTATAATAACGTTTCAACATATCTTGTTTTTCTTCATTTGAAAATGAGGACATTTCGACTGAAGTATTTGTGCAAACTTATGATGTTTGATGAGTTCTGACAACTACTGTCTATCGAACAAAATTTTTCGATTAAGTGATGACCATTTAAGATGAAGTTTTTTTTTAATACTTGTGGTTTCAAAAGAGCAAATCATAACAAATTATACAGAATGAGAAGCACTATTTCTCTGTATAAAGATAAACAAATATGGTGCCCATAATAGAAAAAAAGTCGATGATGATTGCCAGAAGACGAAACGTCGGATAATAAATCTGAACATGGAAACGCTAGCAATTTGAGTTTCGTCGTATCTCCTGTAGTTCAGGATATTCAAATTGGGATATCCAATTTGAATTACCCTACAGACAAGTATAGATACTTAGGTTTTCTAAAAAGAACATGAAACAACTATCTAGTTTTCCGCGCCACCACCTGCTACTGCTTACCAACACTCATATTTGCAATGTCACTTCTACCTACTTCACAAAAACTTCTGGAAACCATTTTTCTGCAATTGCATCAAGTTACCCCAAAATTAGGTCACAATGATATACACGTATAAGGTTTCTAATGATATCGATGACGAAATAGCTGTCTTTTTTTAACGATACCGAGTGTAAATCAATTTAGGCTCGACACTATAACTTTTTTTTCTGGTATAAATGTGGAATATTGGTATTTCACACTTTGGATGGATTAGATCAAAAATGAATTTTGTAGCATTTCCAATTTTATAGAAAATTTCCCCAACTTTGGAATTTCAAATGGAACACCCAATATATTCATATAATTTTGGATTCAGCAGTTCGTTTCACATACAAACATCTTGCTTCGCTGGGGAAATAATGCAAAGCTCATTTATAAACTCATTAAGACACTATGATCACTGAAAAATATTTGATTCGCTTCCATGATCTATGTAAAAGATCTATATTTTTTTACCATTCGCACAATCAAAATTCCACACAGAAACACAAAAGTTATAAGGTCGAACATAAATAGGTTTACACACGGTATATCAATGAAAAAGGAAGTTTCCTTACAAATAATTCTTATAACAATAATATTAAGCTTCTGATAATAATATTGTTAGGCTCCCAAGGCCAAACACTTTGTTGTTGATAAACTCCCTGATTTACAGTGACTTATTCGAGTCTGACCTTTGTCCCTCAGTAAATTCTGCAGCAGACAGGTGGTCAGTTTGATTTTACTGCTTTTTTTTTGTTGATGGCATATTTTGAAAGTTTCGGCTACTTCATTTTCAAAATACAAACGGTTCTTGATTCTGATTTTTGATACCACAGAGTTTCTTGCAATTTTATAATAATGTCATTCACAAAAATGCTTCGTAATACCGAAAATGTTGAGGCAATTATTTCAATATTCAATATTTTCGAAATGTTTATCCAATTATACTGACTCATAACATCCTTTCGCGTCTGCCATAGGTAGCTTCGATAAGTTGATGAACGAAGAAGACTCCAGATCGAACGAAGGAAGCGGATCGCAAACATCTCCGAGAATACAAAAAAAGAATCCTTCCATAGCGAATCCTGCGGTGAAAGTTGAGGGAAGAAGGAATTCTCCAAATTCGTGTGATAGGAAGTTAGGAGTGAGAAAGGTATCGCCTAGTCCCAGTCATAGCAAAGACAGCGGAATCAGCTTGAGTTCCCACGAGAGCATTCCGATGAAGATGTCACCGAAGAGTTCAACGACTCCTGGGGCCACAGTGGTGCACTCCAGTCCGTTAGGTAATTGGTTTGTTTCAGCGGAGTGTATAATTTTCTTTAAATTGTATACTATGGCGAATCTTGTATTACGTTGAGGCCTGTATTTCGCTTGGAAACAGATGAGAGATGGCGATTTTGAGTTGCATGTCATTCGTGGCATGAGATTTTCTGCCATGCCGAAATAAATAATTATTTAATTTGAAAGGTTTATATTTTAAGGAGTGGTTAATTTTTGGGAAAGGATGTTTTTGGCTTTCTACTACTCCATCTTGATACAGAAAAATGTGGGAATCTTCCAAAGAAAGGAATGCAGTAATCAATTTTAAAATAAGTAACTGTATACATAGATGTATAAATCATGCAAAGAAGTAACTTTCAGACACAAATTTGGAAGAAAAACCATTCCTGAAACAGCTACTTTCATATACTTTTATATAAGCACATAATTATACAGAAAAAACTTTTCTCTACTCAATTTGTATTCCAAATATTGCATTTTTCTGTAAAGTCAACCGAAATCGGACTATAGCTCTGAGAAAGCGACTACATAATCCATGAACTGTAATAAAAGGTTTTTTTTATTTTATGCTCAAAAATTTTTTATTTGTACATTGAAAAAAAGGAAAAAAAAATTGTATGTTTCTTTCTTTTATATGCATTCGTCGTCGATATCTTTAATTACAATTTCATCAAAAGTTGCTGACAAAACATCGAGTGGACTTATTGCTGTATTTGAATCAACATCTTCATCATTTTCTTCATTAGTGGACTCTGCATTTGAGCATGACTGACCACGACAATGTCCACAAGCTTTAGAACATCTCAATCCAATTTTTTACATCCACATTTGCCGCCACAACCTTTTGCACAATTACAAAAGATTGTGGTTAGTAGATAATCGGGTGCTGGTGGCAATAAAATTGTTATTGGTTGTAATATATTATTTTTCAACTCCCAACCCCATTGTTCTGGATCATTTTTTTTTCCTTGCCAGGTTTGTATTTGATGAAGGACTCGATAAATATGATATTGAGCTGCTGAAGAAGTGGGCGGTAGTAATTGAAATTTCACAGCTGTGCTTTGTCTTGTTGGTTTAGCAAAGCTGCAGTATCTGTAATTGTCAATTGAATTTTCTGATTTTGGAGCACCATACAATGCTAGTAGAAAATGTATTCCAGTATTGACAAGGGCATTGATAAGCGCAATTTTCTTTTTGAAATATTTCTGCAGAATTATCTAAATCGGGTCTTTTTTCAAACATCTACATGACTTTAATTTTTCCTTTCCCAAAAAGTGTTGAAGATGTGTCACATCCGGTCATAGCATGTAGAAACATAATATTTTTCTTGCAGTGTGGATACTAATGGAAGCTCTTAGTCGGGTATATTTTTGTTTCAACATTGTTTTTCTCTAGTTTCTTAAAAAAAATGGATGTAGGTTAATCAAGTTTTTGTGTGCGTGATATGAGAAGTACTAATAGATCTATGTCTTCGATAATTGTAGTATTATTTATTGATTTTTTCAATTGCTGTTCCAACTATTAAGACGTCAGCATCATCACGTGATTATCTTGTAGAAATTTTCGAAATTCTCAATGAGCATTTCAATTAATTTTCTTTTAAGTCGATTAGATTAAAATTTTTCTTGACTGATAGGAACTTCCATCGATTTGTTGAAGTGCACTTCACAAGATGTAGAAACGGCAGAGGTTTGTCTTAGTTGTTCCATCGCTTTGATAGTTTTACTGGTATCGGAGTAACCATAAAAAATGACAACAGTATTTTGACCAAAACTTTTTGATGAATAATTAATATATTTGTTAATGATAATATTGAATGTATAATTTTTATGCCATACAACACGATGCACGCCCGAGTAGAAGTTAGAAGTTTTAAGAAAACTCAAATACATTGATAAAAAGCAATAGAGTTCACTCACACGGTATACAATACCGTGTGAGTGCATTCTACTCGCTTTCTCAGCGCTCTAGTCCAAAAGCGGTTGACTTTAGAGAAAAATGCAGAAAACATTTTTTGTAGATAATCGTATGAGGAATAATTTTTATAATAACCTTTATTGACCTCCGAACCATAAGTCGCGAGATATTCGCGAAAAACTGATTTTCGTGACCTTTTGACCCTTATAACTTTTTTAGTCGGCACGATATCAATGTCGATTTTTCACATCTTCATTAAAATGACATATTGAAGGTGTACACCAACATTCAGCTCAGTAGGAATTTTTCCGCAGATTGAGGTTTAAAAAACCTAAAATGACTGGATTATACAGTCCGATCATAGTAATCAGTTCTATAATTCAAAATTCTCTTCATTGATGGAAAAATACCATATCAATCATTATTCAACAGTCAGTACACAAAAAGGCTACAGATTACCACACGACTTATCAGAATAATGGAGAGATAGGGAGTATTCCGTTTAAGGTTATTACAAGTGGTTGAATATTTTCCCATAAATTATCAATATATATAACAACAAAGTTCATCGTACCATTGACATGAAGCCCGCAGCGTGACACCATCTAGGCAGTTGGCGATCTATGCGAAATCCAAGAGGTGTCGTAGCATAGTAAAAGTGAAAAAATTCAAATCAGCATCGATACGTCCAGAAGATACTGCAGTCCTGGTATTTTTGAACAGAGGTTCTATACAAACTTTTCAATCAATGGAGGCTATTCAGCTTTTCCCATAAGATCATACACCAAGAAAAGTATTTTCGAAACATAAAAATAAATCCGAAATAGGATCAATAAGTATAAGGTGAAACTATTTCCTTCACTGGAATATATTTCAATACATAAATATGATCATCTTCAAATGATACAGTTCAATAAAACATTTTATTGTCCGTTCAATATTCTTATAACTCCAAACAACAAAATGTTCCACACTTCGATAATAAACTGGATCTATTTATTCATTAACTAACAAATTGTTTTTCAGGTATCTCCTCCAACATGGTTTACCCTCACCTCCAACGTTCATCACCCACGACGGCTACAGCGATAGCTTCAGCAACAGTCACCATCCAGAACGTCCCAAACCCAGTGTCACCGTTCGCCACAAGAAGCACCACAACTACGACCTTTCCAAACCAGTACAACATGAGCAATCAAGTGGACTACAACAGAACCAAGTATTACCAGCTGACTCATCAGATATACCCTGGAGACCTATACAACCCTGATCATCCCACCGTGAATGAACCCCACTCTTATCAAAGAGGACAAAGTCATCCTAGTGCTTTGGGGCAGAGTAGTAGCAGGATAGCGGGCCGAAGCCGACAAGCTACGTATCACCCAGAGTACACGAATCAGCAGCAGTATTGCAACTATAAGAACCAAACTGGGGAGAACTATAATATAGCGCAAGGAAACTATGGACAAGGATATCACAGCGGAGAACACACTGGGTACAATCACTATGGCTACGGGGGTAATAATTTGTACCCCAATGATGGGAATGAAACCATGGCGCATATGCCTAACTCCGTGCAGATGCACCATGATCCAACAGCTAACTATTACCCCACTGAGAACATGGTTCCTGTAAATAAGATGCAAAACCACGCAGACTACCAGGGTAAAGTCGGCTACTATGAAAACAGTTACAACGCTAACCACATCCCTGCCAGCTCTGATACAACCTACAGTATGCCTGCAGAAATTTTCCCTCCGACCAACAACCCCACCACAGCTGTGATGACTCCCCCTGCCAGCGTTGCTACTGAGGCTAGTGACAGTTACAATAACTACCACCAGTTTTATGGTGGGGAGACACAGGCTCCCGTAGCGCCACCTGGTGAAGGCAGTAATAGTTCGTCGGACTTTAATTTCCTGAGCAACCTAGCAAATGACTACACTCCTGAGTATTATCAAATTTGATTTGATTTGGTGCAATCGAAGACACGGTTCTCTGTTGATTTTTTATTGTTGAAATGTGATTTTTACTTGATTGTTTATTGTTCGAAAGTTTTATGGCTAGTTTTGAGTTTTGTTCTGGTTGAGTCGATAAGGGTGAAACCCGCATAGTGCGAGTGGAATAGACAATCTGAAATAAGGTATGTCATGAACGAAATTGGTTCTGGATGGACAAGTTCTATGGAAAATGATCCTCAAGTATACAATGACATGGTTTTCTTATACTATCCTAACTATTGATGTTGATACTATCATTCAACATCAATGGCATCATATCATATAACAATATGAAGCCATAGACTTTCCTTGGTTATATTTTTTATCATTGTTTCCATAATGATGAGCAGTGAATAATGACAAGCAGTTTCTTTTAAATTGATAGACCCTGTATAGTCATTAGTAGTTCAAAATCCCTTTCCTGAACTTCAGTTTACCTACCAAGGAGAGCACATGAATATGGCAAGTGGGATCTGGTCGAAACGTTGTGATAATGGCAAAGACGAACGGATAACACTTCAGCATATATTTGTGCTCTTCTGAGGAACGGAGCTCTACATATTTTTTTTTACTCTCCGAAGGAAATCAATCTTAAATATTTGAGATCATTCGAACTACAGGCCATAGACTTAACTTAAAATTTCCATTCTTCTGTCAGTTTTGGTGTTATTGATACAATCCATCACAGATTTTTCAGTCAAATATAGTTTTTCGTAAATTTATCGATATGGATTCTATTTTTACAAGTTGTGTTGGGATGTTTCATGGATTCGATTAAAACATGGGATACTCTTTCATGATCATGGTTAATAGAACTTCCTATACATTTCCACTGGAAAACTGTTTTTTTCTCAAGAACTTAATTTTTTTCGATTTTCAACTTTTTTTCGAGACATCCACATTTTGATGGAGTATAAAAAATGCTAGGATTTCTTTCTGGTAGAACGTCTAGATATCTAAAATACAGTCATACCAAGAAAATATTGAAGATCTTATGAAAAAATTAAGATAAAAGTCCATCTTCAGTATATATGTTTATAAAGCTATACTTTCATAAGTAGCAACTTGTAGATGATGACTTATCAAAATATTTCTACTTCATGGTCAATTTATAAAGAGAACTCTTATTCTATATCGTCATTTTCCTCAGAACTGGCTCAACCGGAAAATTTGGATGTAAAAAGTAAATAAAAGCAACAATCATGAATATACCTTTATTAATGAAATGTACAAAATATATAGTAGATACGATGCACAGCCAAAATGGTTCAATGTAATATTTAATAAAACATTAGGAAACGGTAGATTGTTGTTGAATGTACATATGCAGTATATGTATTTCATCATAATGTACAGGTACAGTAACGCATTAGTATTCTCTAGTATTTTGAATCGATGAATATACGACTTTAGCTTTATAAGGTTTTTCATTATTATTCCATTATTAGGAAACCGTATCTTTCATTGTTTTCCTTCTGGAGTTTTGAATTTTTGATATTGAGAGTTTAGTTCACTTGAATTTGGTAACTGAATAATATATACTTATGATGCACTGCTTAGAACCTTGCTGTAGTAATGAATATTACTAGAGTTTTTTCCCAACACCAAATCGTTATTCTTAACACCTCGACACGTGTTTCGATTACCAAGTGATCATCTTCAAAGAAGAAGATTAAAACTAAGGACTAGTGCGAGCTAACCCTATTTATGCTATATAGGTAACCCATGCAGGTAAACCATCCAGGCGTACCAACCATACAGGTATGCCAACCTTAATTAATTATACAATTTTGCCTTATCTATCATTTTACAATAATTAATTTTTATGTAGCTGAAAATTGTTTTATATGAACATATATTGTAAAATAATAGATAAGGCAAAATTGTAAAATTAATTTACGTTGATATATCTGTATGGTTGGTACGCCTGGATGGTTTACCTGAATGGGTTACCTATATAGCATAAATAGGGTAAGCTCGCATTAGTTTCAAGTTTTAATCTTCCTCTTTGAAGATGATCACTTGGTGATCGAAACACGTGTCGAGGTGTTAAAAATAACGATTTGGTGTTGGAAAAAAAAACTCCAGTAATATTCATTAACTGAATAATATAGATGATAAAGAGTTCGACATTTTATCTCTGATAACAGGTAACAAAATGTCACTCTTTATGAAATTACTTTTTTCCCCGGGAAAAAAGTGTATACTTTTTCCTGAGGTAGAAATTTAATTTTAGAATATTTTCTAAAAGTTACATTTCCTCTATATCAAAAGTACAATTATTAAATGTGCATTGCATGGATAATATGTTTCTCAAACTATTCGGTACAACAGTCGAATTTTCTTGTGTTGAAATTATATTTTTTTCTGCCGTGGACACAACTGCCGTTGATGAACCTGGTCGCAAATCGAGTGTGGGTGTTATTTCAGCACTGCCAAATATTCTAAACACTTTATTAGCTATTTCTGTCCTGTGTGCTACCGATTCATCAACATACCCTTCAGCGACCGTTGATGACTTCCAACCGCCATGTTTCTTTCGTGTCATCAAGTCTCCCCCAGATTCAAAAAAGTGTAGCAGACGATCTTCGAAATGAATGACCTGTATATGAATTGACATTTTCAAGTTGAAGAAAATTAGCAACTGCTTCAGGTACCTTATAAAACTGATTGCTACCCACAACCTGATTGATATATTTTCCATTGCGATATGCATAAAACAGGCGGCGATCCTTTACTGCTGCTGGACGAAGGGCTATGTACATTCGGTTAGATTTCAATATATTCTTCAGTAACTACAAATCTCCTGTTTACATCATTCTTTGTTTGCTTGAGTTTCACAATTAATAACGTTCCCGAATCTTCAATATCATCTAATGTTACATGGCTGATTTCACAAATTCGACAAGCTCCTGCAATCCCAAATACAACAACAACTTCGGCCATTCAATAAACTTCACATTCGACCACACTGTTGATGGCTCTTGTTGCTGTGCCAGTTCCAAAAAATAAGCCAATAATACCGTCTCCGAGAAAGAACTGCATATCTTTTTCATCTTCCATTGCATGAATCTTGAATACGCGGTTTCATAAATTTTCCGCGATTTAGCTGGCAATAATTTTTGTGACGCTACTTTCGCTGCTTCTACTAACTCCGGTGGAGACAGAGAAAACTCGGAATTAGACATTTTTCAAAATAACTACTGACCACTAAGTTCGCAATTTTTAAATCAAATCACAGAATTAAATTGAAAGATAATTGATTTTTTATTGATTGGTTTCCTAGCAACAGCCTAGCCTACCTGTTTAAAAACTCAAATTTCACATCGATAATTTTCTAACATCTTGTAATAATGGAGAATAATGAAGCTTAATTAAAAATTTATAAAATTATTACAATATGTTAAAACAACGATAAAAATAAAATAAATACAACAATAAAAATTAATTGGCGCTCCGGGGCGACTTCATTGATTCCAGTGGCGCATTTGCTTTTTCAGCTGCAGGAAAACCCGGAAAAACCTGCAGCACCACATCATCTGAAGATCTTGATCTAACAATGTCCTCTCTCTCATAAAACAAAATGTAGGGTGTCTCCAGAGGCTCCAATAAATTCAATGCATCACCAGAACACTTCGTGACACGACTATCGTCAAACTTAAACCAGTCCGTTTTTTCTTTGACCAAGGGGTAATAATGACCACATTCAACGCCAGAACCACAGTAAACAATGACTGCATGAATATTATAACAGTGGTCTGCTAGGTTGAAATGTTCATCTATTTCGAACCTTCCAAAGAGTTTCTTGCTTCCGTTAGAGGTTGAGTCTTGTTTGAAAATCATCAGTGTTATTATTAGATTGACTGGTGCCTCAGCTATACTTGTTTCCTTATAACAGTCAGTTAGTTTGGCGCATGTTTGACAATACAGTTGATCATCGCCTGTTAAAAATTCCATTTTCAGATGATTTAACAATAAGCTTTGCACGGACTGGTAATTAGTCGTATTAGGAAAAGCTAGATGAAGTTCCAGAAATTCACATAAGTTTTCAGTACTTCTTGAACATTTACCACAAAGTAAACAAGTGAGGATTTTTCCAGCAAAAGATTTACAAACACAAGACGAGATGGATTGTACGGAATCATTCAGTCCAGAGCGGTCAGGAGTATTGATTTTGCTATTGTTTTGCTCACGAAGAGTATTCAACAAGAACCCCAAGAATTCGGAACAATCCTCTTGTTGTCCTATCGAGTATTTAGAAGACTCCAGGAAATCGGTTGGAGGGAAAGATGATACCTTCTTACGAAACTGCAGCTGCATGAACAGTTGTTTGAGTTTGATGAATAAGCAGGAAACATTCCCGTTCTCGTTCATTATTAAAACTTCGTTCTTGAAATTCTTCGTCATGTAATAATATGTTTTATTCAATATTAAATCGTCGTTTTTCCCGTCACAGAGAAAAATTGTGTATTATACATGGGAAAAATATTAGATTTCAGCTCTCGGTTTTTTGCTTCGCGTCGGGAGACAACACAACCTCGGGCTAAAATCTAATACTTTTTTCCCTTGTATAATAAATAACTATTGTTGTATCAAGATCTTCAGACGATGTGGTGCTGCAGGTTTTTCCGGATTTTCCTGTAGCTGAAAAAGCAAATGCGCCACTGGAATCAATGAAGTCGCCTCGGAGCGCCAATTAATTTTTATTGTTGTTTTTATTTTATTTTTATGGTTGTTTTAATAGATACATATGTCGAAATGAAATAGTTTCATAAACTATTGTTTGTTTTTGAACTATTTGAAATCACAAACATTCTGAAGCGGGAATGCGAGTGAAGCATTTGAGAGAAATTGTCATATTCCGATCGATTATTTATTTAAAGAATACTTATAGGTTCTTCCAACAGAGACTTTTGAATTTTGACAATTGATAGGAGACATCTTGTTGGTGAAGAATTCAGTTGACCCAGGAACTGAAGGTGAACTATCATAGACAACGACATGTGTTCGCTGAATGGGTTCTGGAGCAGTTGGCAACTGACCCTAATCAACATCGAAAAAACATTTTCAGCGATGAGGCCCATTTCTGGATGAATGAGTACGTGAACATACAAAATTGTCGAATTTGGAGCAATACCAATTCACATTAGATCCAAGAATGTCCACTGCATCACTGTTTGGTGTGGATTTTGGGCTGGTGGCATCATCGATTCATATCTCTTCGAAACTGACGTTAGCCAGGCCATCACTGTCAACGGCGAGCAGTCGATGATCACCAACTTCTTTTGGCCTGAACTGGATAATTTAGACAACAACGATATGTGTTTTCACCAGGAAAGCACTACGTGTCACACATCTCATGCCACATTGGGTATTCTGCACGAATAAATTGAGGACATGGTCATTTTACGTGGAGGTGATGTGAAGCGGCCACCGAGAACGTGCGATTTGACACCGTTAGACTTTTTTTTGTGTTCTTGACGATCAGGTGTATACGAATGAGCCATAAACCACAACGGTCCCCAAAGCCATAACCCGTGCGATTGGACAAATTTAGCCTGATTTATGCGCCAGAGTCATGGAGAATTAGACGTATAGGATTCGCTCCACCCAGAGAAGCTGTGGCGGATATTTCAACAAGGTTATATACCACACGTGACAGCATTAATAGGTTTTTTAAACGAATGAAAATTTTTGATTATATCTCAACCACACTTTTAAATTTAAATAAAGAAGTTTAAATATAGAATGAAAGAACCGTTATTAGTATTTTCTGCAAGAAAGCAGCTGAAAGTAATATTGATAGGTATCAACCAGATAGTGATGTGGATCATTCGATTATACAATTAGCTTCATATAGCCACTTTCATGATATAATCAGTAATTAGTACTTGATAATAATGGAATGTGTTTTCAAACCAGTCAAAAATAATGCATTTCAACGAGTTTATTTACCCAATAATGGGATATCCAATGATTTCTTCTTCATTCATACAGACACTGGAAATGACTACATCTACACTTTCAATAATGGAAAGAATGATTTTATAGAAATTTCAAATAATGGTCAGAAGTTATGCGCATGCGGTAGCTGAAACTTCCATGGTTGAAAAACAATGTGATAAAATACTTTCAAATGAATGTAGGGGAGAGTGGGGTCAATTGTAACAATTTTGTCAACGAACGATTTTGCTCGCAAATTAAATATTATATTCTGATCAAACGAAGCTCTACTGATAAAAGAAGCATTCTTTATTAAGGTTAAAATATGTATTTAACTGAAATCGAACACTTTTTGAATTTAACACATCTATTATGTATTTGTGTCAAATGTTACAATTGTACCCATAAGGGGGTCAGTTGTAACAGCTTTAGGGACGATTCGACCGTTACTTGATGATC